CAACCATTCAAGGGGTTAGAAAATTACTTTACTGACTCCCTTCTTTATGGTGCTGAGTCCGAAACTGAACCATCGGCCCATGGCACGGACAGCGGAGAAGAAGCTGATACCGAAGCCGGGCTCGATTATAGTGAAGGTCTTGTACTAAATGACATTGAACCTCTTGTAATCGATCTTGACGGTGATGAATCGTCGGACGAAAGTTGTAACTGGCAGCTTGCCGATGAAATAATAAATCATGATTTAGAGTACTCGCATTGTCTTGATGATGTAATGCAGAAATTGTACGACGACTCTAGTCTACATATGCCACTTCGTTCGTCTTGTACGGCGACGAAACACCTCCAAAGCTCATCTGGAACAACTATGATCCTACCCGCAAAGGCAGGGGGTGAAAAAGAGATAATCTTTGGAAAAGGGGAATCATCCCCCACTCCAGATCATTTCTTAGATAGTAATTCGGATGAAGAAAAACCCGGGCGACACTTCTCTCGGTATAGTTCTCAAGCGAATGATTATATGATGAGTCGAGGCTATGACCTTTCACTTGGTGAAGGCCTTTATTTTGGTCAAGGTATTAGGGTTCCACCCCGTTCTACCTATGTACCAAAAGGAAAACCAGATAATTACTACAGTCGTAATAGAGGTCTGGGTTATGATTCATCCGAAGACGATTATGGCCAACAAATCATTAACCAATTAATAGATAGGAGCGGACATTCATCCGACACTTCAAATTGGGATTCTGACGTGAGCATTGGTGAAAGATTCAAATCCCTAATGTCGAACATGGCGACGGTTGACCCTTCCACAACAGAAGAAGACGATCAGTTACCTGTTTGGGAAGATCCATGGATGCATTACATGAATATCCAATACGGTGATCGATTTGAGCAAAGAGAACCTCCTACCGAGGATAAAGTGGTTCAAGTTAATATGGGTGACGAAAATAATCCGAAGCCTATATTTATCAGCGGTGATCTCCCGCCAGACGAAAAAGAGGAATTAATTGCCCTCGTTAAAGAGTATATCGACGTTTTCGCATGGAACTACGAAGATATGCCAGGACTCGACCCAAATGTAGCAATGCATACCCTTAACATAAAATCGGATGCTAAACCTGTCAAGCAACAACAAAGACGGTTTCGTCCGCAAATTATGGAGGCAATAGAAGCTGAAGTTAAGAAGCTAATTGACTCGGGTTTTGTCAGAGAGGAACAACATCCTGAATGGTTGGCCAATATCGTTCCAGTCCTCAAAAAGAACGGAAAAATCAGAATCTGTATTGACTTCAGAGATCTGAATACAGCATGCCCCAAGGATGATTTTCCCCTACCGATTACGGACGTCATTATCGACAACACATGCGGGTTTGAAAGAATGTCGTTCATGGATGGATTTTCTGGGTATAATCAAATCAAGATGCATCCGGATGATGAAAAGCATACAGCTTTCAGAACACCTCTTGGCGTCTTTTGTTATACCGTTATGCCTTTCGGTTTGAAGAACGCCGGTGCTACGTATCAACGGGCGATGACGAAGATCTTTCAAGAACACCTTAGGAAGACAGTCGAATGCTACGTTGATGACCTAGTCGTTAAGAGTCGTGATAAAAATGACCACATTAACGATCTAAAGACAATGTTCGAGCTTATGAGAACTCATCAGCTGAAAATGAACCCGACTAAATCCTTCCTGGGAATGTCGAGCGGCAAATTTCTTGGATTCGTCGTCACCACAAAAGGTATTCATATTGATCCTGATAAGGTGAAGGCGATAAACGAACTGCAGCCTCCAAGAAATCTTAAAGAACTCAGAGGATTGCAAGGTCGATTAGCATATATCCGTCGGTTTATATCGAACTTGTCCGGAAAATGTCAACCGTTTTCCAAACTCGCAAAGAAAGGCGTGTCGTTCATTTGGGATGAAGCATGTCAGAAGGCATTCGAAGATATCAAGAAATATCTAGCGAATCCACCTATTCTCGTTGCACCGAAATCGGGCAAGCCGTTTTTGATTTATGTCAAAGCGACGAGCCATTCGTTAAGTGCCTTACTTGCACAAGACGACGATAACGGTCACGAGCAAGCTGTGTATTATCTGAGTCGTACATTGGTAGGAGCTGAGTCTCGTTATCCGATGATTGAGAAGGAATGCCTCGCTTTGGTATTCGCGATTCAGAAAATGCGACATTATTTAGTCGGACAGACGATTTATGTCATTTCCAACATAAATCCCGTCCGAGTGTTCATGACCCAACCGGCTTCCATGAATTGGCGTTTGGCCAGATGGGCTTTACTCTTATCGCAATATGACTTGTACTTCAAACAGCAGAAATCTGTTAAAGGACGAGCTATTTGCGACCTTCTGGCAGAAAACCCTACGAAGGATGTAGTCGAATTGTACGACGACCTGCCAGATGAAACTCACGAAGTTAATACCACCTCACATCAACAAGTGTGGCAATTGTACTTCGATGGGGCTTCCCGATCAACCAACGTGGCAAGTGCACCCGGATGTTCTAAAATCTCCTCAGGAGTGGGGGTCGTTTTAGTTTCCCCGGAAAAGCACGTCTTGCCTAGAGCATATTCACTGACTGAACCATGCTCTAATAACGTGGCTGAATACAATGCATTAATAATCGGACTTAATTTCGCCAAAGAGCTGGGGGTCGAATACCTTGAAGCTTTTGGAGATTCTCAACTGGTGGTTAATCAAATACGAGGAGAGTATGAAGTCAGAAATCGAGACCTGATTCCATACCACCAGGTGGCCATCGAAATAGCAAGCTCGTTTGAAGAATTTTTCATCGAGTACGTTCCGCGTCTCCAAAATACATACGCGGATGCATTGGCAGCATTGTCAGTATCCTTGGCTCAACCTCCCGAAACAGAGCAATTAATTACAGTGAGGACTCATCAGCTTATTGTTCCAATCTACGATTCGAATGCTAAAGAGGTATACTCAACTGGAGTTGAACCCGAAGTTCGAGATTGGCGTTTTCCTATTATTGACTACGTCTTACATGGTATATTACCTGAAGATGTAAGAGAAAGGGAATCGATTCGGCGAAGAGCGCCGAGATTTTATTACAATGCCACATCGCAAACGTTGTATCGACGAGCTTATGATGGTCTTTTACTTCGTTGTCTATCCAGTAAAGAAGCGGAACAAGCACTCAAAGAGGCACATAATGGGATATGCGGTGCACATCAGCCCGGTCCTAAACTCTGCGACCGACTTAGGAGAATCGGATATTATTGGCCAACTATGGTGAAAGACGCAGTCGATTACGCACGACAATGTGTAGTGTGTCAATTGCATGCAAATTATATGCACATACCCCCTGAATATCTGCATCCTTCGGCGACATCGTGGCCGTTTGAAACTTGGGGAATGGATATAGTAGGTCCTATTTTTCCACCTTCGGTTAAAGGGGACCGTTTCATTCTGGCAATCACCGATTATTTCTCGAAATGGGCAGAAGCAGTTCCACTTAGAGAAGTAAAGACGACCAATGTCATCAAATTTATCAAACACCATATCATATATCGGTACGGTGTGCCAAGGCGAATAGTGCACGACAACGGTCCTCAGTTCGTGAGCAACGCATTCATCAAGTTCTGCGGTAAATTCGGGATTAAAGACGTTTCGTCGACTGCTTATAATCCTACAGCTAACGGATTGGCCGAAGCTTTTAACAAGACTATCATCAAAATCCTGGCAAAATTGGTGAAAACCAATAAGCGAGATTGGGATGACAAACTCGGCGAAGCTCTCTGGGCTTATCGTACGACCGTCCGCACGCCTACCGGAGCCACCCCGTATGCTTTAACGTATGGGTGTGAAGCCGTTCTTCCATTGGAAGTGCAGATTCCTTCTCTCCGTATCGCTCTCGTAACGGGAATGACGACGGAAGAACATCATCAGAAACGTCTCGAGGAATTAGAGATGTTAGATGAGAAACGCTTGGAAGCTCAACAACAAATCGAGTTTTATCAAGCTAGAATTTCTCGGGCTTTCGATAAAAAGGTCCGACGACGAAGCTTTAAAGAAGGAGATCTAGTTCTCGCCGTTCGAAGACCTATGATTCTCACTTCTAAGAAGAAAGGCAAATTTGAACCTAAATGGGAAGGACCGTTTGTGATAGAAACAGTCTATTCGAACGGTGCATATCGCCTGGTTACCCAAGATGGCAACAAATTGATGATGCCAATAAATGGGAAGTTCCTGAAAAAATATTATCCGTAATATATTCAGGATAACCTGTGTAAAGCGGGAAGTTCCTAGAGAATCCTATATAGGATATTTCAGGATAACCCGAGATCAGTTCACTATTTTAAATGAGAAGCTGGTCATTTGAATAATTCATTGTTCTTTTACAACTTTTGTTGAGATGAGATTTAATGATAGTTAATCTTTCCTCAGCAAAACCTTGTAATATAATCATGGAAGATGAGATTTGATGATTTGTAATCTCACGCTATGAAACCCCCATCGGTCGGATTGATCAACGATCATCAGTATGTATCAGTCGACAGATTATTTCGTGTCAAATTCTTATGTTTAAAATCAAAATTTCCCACCGATTAGTTTGTGCAAATCAACAAACTCATTGTTATTTGCACCCTACTCCTATTCCTCACTTGGTCAAACCTTTAAACAGTTAGGACCAAAGCCAAAATCCCCTCTCGATTCGTTCCATGAACGAGAGGTCCACAAATTGAGCGATCAAACCTTCCTACAGTTAGGATCGTCTCAAAATTCCCACTTGGTCAAACCTTACTACAGTTAGGACCACAACCAAAATCTCCTTTCGATTCATTTTTGCGAACGAAAGGTTTACTTTTGAATTGAGTAATCAAACCTTATGACACTACTTGTACCTGCTTCTTTTAATTTGACTAAAAGGAGAGAAAGCGCACAGGTCATTAGAGGAGGCACACGGTCCGACTCATTCATTTCTCGGATTTCTCTTCCGAGAGGAGAAAGATCAGTACCTGTGTCCACAGCTGATGGATCAACGTCAGGAGTGGGTGGAACATCAGCCGATCCTTCCTTCAGAGCGTCATGCATTTGTTGGACGAAGCTTGTTTCCTCAATTTCCATACCTCCGGGAGAAGCAGCATCAGCTGACAATTCTCCTTCCTCTCGACTCCCTGCAGAAGTTGAACATGAAATAAGTTTGAACATCAAAAAAGTGTAAAAGCTATAAAAACAAATCGATACCTTGTTCATCAGAAGAAACACTACGACCGGATGTCTCTTCTACAGCAGGAAGATGAACGCGCGGTTTAGAAACAGCTTTCTTCTGTTTCTTCAGAGGGCGTGCACCAGAACCTTCATGACGATGTTTGGTGCGTAACTCAGCTCGGGGAGAAACTTGAGTTTGAGCTTGAGTAGAAGTTCGAGATATTTGCCGACGAATGAGAGGCACCATATCCTCTTCATCCTCTTCGTCGCAACTAAGAACTTCTACCGTCATCCGGTTAGGATGTTCCATGACGACTCTTTCCTTACGTTTCTTTGGAGCAGCTTGTGGTTGGGTCGGAGCGACAGAAGGCCTTACAAGTCCTCTATCAAAGAATGAATCGGGAAGGCCAGATACTTCCTCAGAACTTGATTCATTCTCGTCTTCCCCTTCTGAAGTTTCGGTTGCTTCACTATCAAACTCCTCTTCACTATCAACTGGGAGAGCCGGTTCCTTTCCTTTCCTTGATGATTCAGCAGCCTCTTTTCCTCGAGGCGACATCACAGCTTCACGGGTCACTTCTGTTGCTTGTCGTGGAGCTATCTCTTCCTCTGAGTCTGATATCCTCCTGCGTCGAGTGACAATATTGGCGGCTATCAACCATTTGCAAAAGAGGAAGGTCATCCGTAGGGGCGGTGCCTCTAAAGGAAGATCGAATTCGACATTTGTACAGCCGGCGATGCTCCAGAACCAAGCCCTCGCACCGTCGATAAGTCCACCTCGAGAGCTAAGGTGGCGGTTTGGATTGCCAACATATATCTGATCATAGCCGAACTGACGGGCGAATCGACATGGGAGATAAGGTTCAATGTGACAAGTATCTCTTACCCTGAACAACAGATATCCAGGTCGAATGTTCATCAACCATCTGAAGCACCCGACATCCAAGATGGTACGATTCTGCCTTGGGTCTTCAGCATCCACTAAGGTAGTGTTGTAAGTACCGGAGAACTGAGGGAAGCAGGGAAAAAATTCCCAACATTTGTGAATTTTAAACTGCCTCGTTATGTCCGGCTCTCGATGTTTGCTCCATTTGCAATTCTCGAGATTTTGCAACAGAGGGACACTGAGATCTACCGTATCAGGAGCCTCCATTAAATCTGGTCGATGAAGTACCAACCAGGCCATTAAGTAAGTATAGGGCAGCTCCAGCTTCGGAACGGACAGGCTGGCGGAAGGTTTCTTTTTCTCCTGAGTAAACGCGGAGATTAGTTGCCGCAATCCACTATGAATATCGGCCACCATAGCGGGAAGCAAAGATAATTTGCGACCTGTAGCCAGCTGGACGGCCGGATACAACACTTCCATTGGCATCGCATCTGCGGATTGATGGGGAACTACACATCTCTTTAACCATAAGGCTAGAAAACCTGCCAGCAGAGCAGTAGGGCTAATCGGAACACCAGCTTGCCACAGATAAGAGCGGAACTTAGTGCCGTGCAAAAATCCATCTTCTGAGCGCGAAGTATAAGAATGCGCGTTGGTTTTCTCTAACAAACGGTTAATTTCATCCGTACTCAAGGGAGACAATCCGCACACATCTGCCGAACGGACATCCAGATTCTTGAAGAGATAATCAGCGAATTGTTTTAAACTGACTTGAGGAGACTTCTTTCTGGCTTTGGGCTCCATCTCGGCCATGGCTATATGATAATGACAGGTCAATTCCCATAGAGTGTCATAGGTCGCAGTCGAGCTATCTTTCATCTTAATCAGCTGATTGGTGGTCGGAAAGAACTCTTGATATGGGACATCGCCCATAGGCAAAGCAGACACTTGCATCATTTCATGCAGTGGTAGTCCAAGTTCCCCGTTCTTGGTAAAGAATGTATTGGTGTCCGGGTTGTAGATCTCGAACAAACAAAGGAAATGACTTACACTGCTCTGCAAGCCATGCATGGTGGCACGAATCGGGACATCCAACCCTAATCCTGCTAATTCTCGCCCAAAACGTTTCAACACATATTGGGTCATCCTGGTCCACCACCACTTGTTCCCAGAATAATGGACCCATCCATAACACCTGAAAGTCTCTCTGGGCAATCTTTTTCCTGCTGCCGCTAACCGGTTCTTCACAGTGTTGGCTTGCACTATCTTTTCGTTCTGAGGAATATTGTCTTGTCCTAAGACACCCGGATGAAGTCCTCTCACATGAGCTCTTTCACTGGAACCTGGAGTTGCTTCCTTTCCAATGAAACCACAATGAATGTGCTCGTGGTTTTCGGTTAATTTCCAGAACATCTCTCGTCCAACTGATAGGTTCCTGAACATTAACAGTGAATGATCCCGAGGGATAAAAGGCAGATATAAGAATGATGATCCACTCTGGTGCAACCATTGCGCAGGCTGGCAGAAAGCAATCTTCGGATCTTTTACCGAGTCACCAAATAAGAAATCTGGCTTCCTTATGCATTGATTCGAGTCTTGCTCCGAGATCAAGGGCGCATCTGTGATTAATCGTCGTAGAACACGACAACTACCTCGCTGGATTAATTCACTATCACTTCCGTTATAATCAGATTTAAACTGGGGAGAGAATTCAATTAACGGGATCCCCTCGTAATAAGAGTGGGTCACGCTACTCCGGCCAGTAATCACATCAGCAGTAAATGTGGTAGAAGGAAATCGGACTGATAAAAGAGGCATACACATAAATGGTGTAAGTGTCATCCTAAAATTTTAGAGAAAAACGGTATATCTCATTCTATAAGATATAGTCGTTATCTCATAACAGGTGTGACGATTTTCTATCCACCATATGTATAAAGGAGGTATGCGGGCATTATAACGGCATACCAAAACCTTTCAATACATATGGGATGATGTAAAATCGCCCCTGTGTATTATGAAGTGTGTTTTGTCAAAGCAAAACAAACACTTTTAAGCGTCGATCCCCTCAAAGGAGGATACCGGCTCTTCTCGAAGGTACCTCAAAGGATACAAACGAGGATCTGCAAGCAAATACAGGTGCATATATATATGGAATGGACGAAATACAATATTTAAATTCGTGAAAAGGTGAAAGAAATATACCTCCACGTGAGATCGCAGCACTCGCACCGTCGATAAGTCCACCTCGAAAGCTAAGGTGACGATTCGGGTTGCCGACGTACATTTGATCATAGCCGAACTGACGGGCGAATCGACATGGAAAATAGGGTTCAATGTGACAAACATCTCTTACCCTGAATAATAGATATCCAGGTCGAATGTTCATCAACCATCTGAAGCACCCGACATCCAAGATAGTGCGATTCTGCCTTGGGTCTTCAGCATCTACTAAAGTAGTATTGTAGGTACCGGAGAACTGAGGGAAGCAGGGGAAGAATTCCCAACACTTGTGAATTTTAAACTGCCTCGTTATGTCGGGTTCTCGATGCCTGATCCATTTGCAATTCTCGAGACTCTGCAACAAAGGAATGCTAGAATTTGCCGTCTCAGGAGCTTCCATTAAATCTGGTCGGTGAAGTACTAACCAAGTCATCAGATAAGTGTAGGGTAGCTCCAACTTCGGAATGGACAGGCTGGCGGAAGGTTTCTTTTTCTCCTGAGTAAACGCGGAGATTAGTTGCCGTAATCCACTATGAATATCGGCCACCATAGCGGGAAGCAAAGATAATTTGCGACCTGTAGCCAGCTGGACGGTCGGATACAACACTTCCATTGGCATCGCATCTGCGGATTGATGAGGAACTACACATCTCTTTAACCATAAGGCTAGAAAACCTGCCAGCAGAGCAATAGGGCTAATCGGAACACCAGCTTGCCACAGATAAGAGCGGAACTTAGTGCCGTGCAAAAATCCATCTTCTGAGCGCGAAGTATAAGAATGCGCGTTGGTTTTCTCTAACAAACGGTTAATTTCATCCGTACTCAAGGGAGACAATCCGCACACATCTGCCGAACGGACATCCAGATTCTTGAAGAGATAATCAGCGAATTGTTTTAAACTGACTTGAGGAGACTTCTTTCTGGCTTTGGGCTCCATCTCGGCCATGGCTATATGATAATGACAGGTCAATTCCCATAGAGTGTCATAGGTCGCAGTCGAGCTATCTTTCATCTTAATCAGCTGATTGGTGGTCGGAAAGAACTCTTGATATGGGACATCGCCCATAGGCAAAGCAGACACTTGCATCATTTCATGCAGTGGTAGTCCAAGTTCCCCGTTCTTGGTAAAGAATGTATTGGTGTCCGGGTTGTAGATCTCGAACAAACAAAGGAAATGACTTACACTGCTCTGCAAGCCATGCATGGTGGCACGAATCGGGACATCCAACCCTAATCCTGCTAATTCTCGCCCAAAACGTTTCAACACATATTGGGTCATCCTGGTCCACCACCACTTGTTCCCAGAATAATGGACCCATCCATAACACCTGAAAGTCTCTCTGGGCAATCTTTTTCCTGCTGCCGCTAACCGGTTCTTCACAGTGTTGGCTTGCACTATCTTTTCGTTCTGAGGAATATTGTCTTGTCCTAAGACACCCGGATGAAGTCCTCTCACATGAGCTCTTTCACTGGAACCTGGAGTTGCTTCCTTTCCAATGAAACCACAATGAATGTGCTCGTGGTTTTCGGTTAATTTCCAGAACATCTCTCGTCCAACTGATAGGTTCCTGAACATTAACAGTGAATGATCCCGAGGGATAAAAGGCAGATATAAGAATGATGATCCACTCTGGTGCAACCATTGCGCAGGCTGGCAGAAAGCAATCTTCGGATCTTTTACCGAGTCACCAAATAAGAAATCTGGCTTCCTTATGCATTGATTCGAGTCTTGCTCCGAGATCAAGGGCGCATCTGTGATTAATCGTCGTAGAACACGACAACTACCTCGCTGGATTAATTCACTATCACTTCCGTTATAATCAGATTTAAACTGGGGAGAGAATTCAATTAACGGGATCCCCTCGTAATAAGAGTGGGTCACGCTACTCCGGCCAGTAATCACATCAGCAGTAAATGTGGTAGAAGGAAATCGGACTGATAAAAGAGGCATACACATAAATGGTGTAAGTGTCATCCTAAAATTTTAGAGAAAAACGGTATATCTCATTCTATAAGATATAGTCGTTATCTCATAACAGGTGTGACGATTTTCTATCCACCATATGTATAAAGGAGGTATGCGGGCATTATAACGGCATACCAAAACCTTTCAATACATATGGGATGATGTAAAATCGCCCCTGTGTATTATGAAGTGTGTTTTGTCAAAGCAAAACAAACACTTTTAAGCGTCGATCCCCTCAAAGGAGGATACCGGCTCTTCTCGAAGGTACCTCAAAGGATACAAACGAGGATCTGCAAGCAAATACAGGTGCATATATATATGGAATGGACGAAATACAATATTTAAATTCGTGAAAAGGTGAAAGAAATATACCTCCACGTGAGATCGCAGCAGGGGCAGCCTCCTCAGGGCTCTGAACAGTCGGTCGGATTCCCTTCCCTCGAGCTCTACGTGGCGACATGATGAGTATGTGATCTACATTGAAATCCAAGAGGAAGGTTAAGATTTTGAACATGAAATCGACAAAAAAATAGGACAAATACAACTGAAATGCTGCATGCACAGTCACAGGTTGCCAAAAGTCAAGATTTTGAAGAAAAGAGGGGAA